AAAGAAGGCCCGAAGCGGGGAGTGGTCTCTGGGGCCGACCTGCCGCCCCAGCTTGCTTTGTGCCTTCCTCAGGCTGCCTGGGCACGGCCGCCGCCCTTACCTACGGCCTCTACTGCTTCCACCGGGGTCAGAGCCACCGCTCCCAGCTCATGATGCGCACCCGGATCGCCGCCCAGGGCTTCACCGTTGCAGCCATCTTGATGGGTCTGGCAGTGTCCGCTCTGAAGTCTAAACCCTGAGCCCGAGGCCGGGCCTTGAAGGCTCCGCGGAGATCGTCCCCAGTCCCAGGAGCAACCACCGGTCCTGCCAACGGACTTATTCCCGCCTCTCCCCTGACAAGCCCCTGTGTCAGTGGGGGAAGAAGTGGCCAACTGAGTAACAGATTTTTTTCTGGAATCTCTGGTTCGGTTCCCTTTGGGTGTTGCATACTTCTGTTTCCGCCACACTTTCTCCACTCCCTACATAATAAACTCTAATCCACTTATAGTTTCATGAATTCTTAATCTCACCCTCAAGGTTTTTGGCCTTTGATTTTAGGAGAAACAAACTAAAGACTGCAGTGGCCCTTAGAAATTATATGATCTCATATTCAAAAACTTTCCAGCTTCTGGGAAATAGAGATTCCCAAGAGTGATAATATTTGGGAAGAGGGTGGGAGAGGGATCTTTCCAACAATTTCCCAACTTTCAGTAGAAAAACCTGCCTTCAGGTGAGGCTTGCCATGGTCCTGTCAGAGGCAGGGGTGTTGGCCTCCACTGTGCTGCTGCTCCTCACCCCACTCCCACCTCCCGAGACCACCTAAGACTCACTCCACTAGTCTTGACTGTCCTGGCATGGTTCTTGCAGCATCTGACAGATAACACCCACTTCTTGAGCACACCGACACAGTCTAGATTTCTAAATGGAGAAGTGTATGACCAGGGTCAGCTAATTTGCTTGCCCTCCCTGTGGTCTCTCAGTGTAAGGAAAAGATTACAGTTGCAGAGCAGTACACTGTGGTGTCCCTTAGCCTCAAGATTCAAGGAACAGATATAGATTGGTGAGGACTATGGAGACGGTCACTTTTTGTAACTGCAGGCATTATTGTATCCTAAGAGATACATTGAATTCCTAACCCCAGTACCTGAGGTGTGACCTTATTTGGAAATAGGGTCTTTACAGCAGTAATCAAATTAAAATGAGATTAAGGTGGGCCCTGAGCCAATATGAGTGGTGTCCTTACAAAAAGGGGGAAATTTGAGCAAAGGCAACATACAGAGTACAGGCCATGTGAAGATGAACTCAGGATTGTACTGATGCATCTATAAGCCAAGGAATGCCTGAGGCAGCCAGAAGCTGGAAGACATGCTGAAACACATCCTTCCCTAATGATGTCAGAGGACCATGGCCCTACTGACACCTTCATTCAGATTTCTGACCTCCAGAAGAGTGAGACAATTTCTGTTATTCTAAGCCAGGCTTTGTTATGATGTTCTAGGAAATTAATATGGCTGGCAATTAAATGTTTTAAAACTGTGCAGGTCACAATCTTTGGAATGTAACCTGTTTGCAACCCCTGCTGGACAGGAAGAAGGTGTGGTCACTGTTTATCCTAAATCCACAGAGGGGCAAGCTGAAGGAGGGAGAGCAGTGGGCCCTCCACATGAAAAGGGCCCCAGCCATTCCCAAGGAAGGGGGTTTGGCAGAGGCTTCCTTCACCAGCCTCTCAGCCAGGCTTAGACGAGCCTCCATTGGGAACCTCTAGTCTTGCCTCTTCCCTCCTACTTCAAGCCCCGTATCCTCTGGGAGCCTTGGTGTCTGACTGTATGATGAGAACGGAATTCCTATCACAGACATGTTCAAAGACAGAAAAGATCAGGGTTGCAAAGCATTCTGTGAGAGGTGGTCTTTCTTCCTGGGAGTGGAGGCAGCATTGACAGCTTGGGATACCCACTTCAAGCTGGGAGCTCCTGGGTTTCCAAGGGAATGGCCTCATCTTCTCTCAAGGCCATGAAGCTGGGAAACTTCTAGGACAAACTGAACCCTGACACCATTTGTGGCTTCCAGAGAAATGACAATGATAATAAATAAGTGTAAAAAGAGTTAACAACACACCCTTTAAGCCAAGAAAAAAATACATCAGGAGGGACAGTCACAATTTTGTGGACTAAGAGGTGGTGTGAGGGGCTGGGACTTAGGGCCAAGAGGGAATGAGGCTGAGGGGCGAGTGTTCCCTTCCCGGCCCCCCGGCAGATGGGGAGAAAGGTAGTAGGCTGTGTGGAGCAGCTGCTGGAGGCATTCCACCCCCTGCTCCAAGCAGCTGCTCCTCTGCCCTGACCCTGCCCATGCTCTGTGGCTCTGCTTGTGGCCGGCCCCTAGCGGGACAGTGGTGTCTGCTTCAGGGACATGAGCACAGAACGCAGGCGGGACACATCTTTGCACTGTTTGCTGCTCTTGGGGTTGAAGTCACACAGCTGGGCCACTTTCTCCCACTCTGTGCCTGGGGTTTCCTCCTTGGATTCCTTCA